ATCAGAGGACCTCATATAAGGGTCTCTGACTCTAGATCATCAGAGGACCTCTGTAACACCCCCATTTTTCCCACCAAAATAAAATAACATTTTGAAATGAAAACATCTTTATTATAAAACATATTTAGAGTACAGCGGAAGTCTTTGATGGAAAAACAGGTGTGTCACCGCCACACTCAACCTATACATGATTGAGTGCACAGGCTATCCACCATTAATTCAAGTAGTCATCAGATAAAACATAAACAAAGTTTATGGATTACAAATTTAAACAACAATAATTAATCAAACGTGTGCAACTAGCGGAACACTCGGGCAGCAAGTACATCAATCTTCATAATCATAATCATCTGTACAATAGAGCAAAGAGAAAAAGAGAAAAGAGACAAAAATTAGCTTTAGAGCTAAGTAAGATTCCACCCGAACCCGTAAAATAATATAATTTGGAAAATAGGTTTTTGTATATGTATATATATTGAAAAGTAGTCTCTCATATTTTCAAAATGGTTTAATGTCATAAAATAATTTCCACAATAGATAAGATCATCCTTCAATTCTTCCAAAAGTAATACTTTAGATTCTTTTAAGAGTGGGCGAAACTCAAGATTCCTCGAGCCCAATGAGTCGTTGTTATCTACGACTCATCCCGGAATTCCGGCTCCCACCGACCACCAATTGGAAGCTGAATTTCTACCTTAAGTGTGCACACCCTCTAAAAGGGATTCCAAGCCCTCCGAGTAGTAAGAAACCCAAGTAGGCGGGATGTTTTCTACCACCTACTCACAAGGGACATTGTCCAAGGGTAAATTAGGTAACTACTACTACGACCACCAAAGGATCTTTGATCCTCAAATAAAAGCCCGGGATGTCTACCGGAGTATGTCATTGCCGGACTGGTTACCGACCCAAATAAATTTCACCAAAAGTAGTAGTAGCCCTAACCACCCACGCCTCGTGTTTCTCTCGAGACGTAAGAATATATATTATGAAAACTTTAAGTTTTCCCCAAATCATTCTTGTCACATTTTCTCAAAATATCCTTTGTAATAAATATAAATCCACCAATATTCTTTAATAAAAAGAATATACATTTAATCATCCATAAAAGATAATAATCCACCAATATTCATATAGTCAAAATATTCGATCCATGTCAAACATATAATTTCCAATTCATAAATAATTCACATAGTGCAAATATTGCATACATATAAGTACGAGGCAAAACATTTTGGTTGACATAGAACTTACCTTAAATTGGGATAATCTCCTTAATAAAATCTCTAGCTTGATCTTCACTTGAATTCTCCTTCTAATATTGATCAAAATTCTAAATCAATAACTATTCTATTATTTCGTTATTTCTTTTATATCCAACCTTCAATTACTTTAACTTCATAATTCCTTCTTTAAATATAAATATTAAATTAATAAATCTTACTAACTGTTTATTTCCAGTTCATTCTTATTATTTTCTTTAATTATAATAACCCAACTCGGTTTTTCTTAATTTGTTTGGTTAAATAGTTTACTGGTCCAATTATATTAACTTCATAATAATTTCATTATTTCGAATTTAAATAATCAATTTCAGTTCAAAATTCAGTTTACATAATTTATATAATTTATTTACTAACCCTTTTAATAATAACTTGACTTAGGCAATAATTCGAAATAATAATCATTAATGATAATCTAATCTCAATAACAACTTTAATTAGTTCAATAGTTTATTTATACTAACTAACCCAATTAAATTAATTTATACAATCCTCAAGTTTTATTTATTTGACTCACTAATTTAATTGAACTAACTAAATCAAATAAATAAGTTTAATTATATCAATATAGCTAAATACGTTAATCTAATTCAATTAAGTCCAATAATCAAATTCTAATCTCGTTTTAATTTTCTATTTTTAATATAAAGTCCAGAAATGTTATCAAGTCTATAAATTAACTAATTTATCCATTAAACTAATTGATTTAGTTAAACTAGTTCAATGAAGTCAATTAACTAACTTATTAAGTACACATTACTTAATTAATTTGTTTATATTCATCAACTAATTTTTTATGAGTTCAAATAGTTTAATAATTTATATGGAGTCCAAATCACTAATAATCAAGGATAATAATTATTAATTTAAGCACGCTAATTTAATTAGTCAACTAATTCAATAATTTATTTATTAAGTCCAAATATAGTCATTCATTTATACTAGATAACCCAACTTTATTTTCTTTTCCTTATTTTATTACAAACATCATTTTTAGTCCAGAACATTATTTTCAATCTTAGTGATTTATTTATTTCACCATTAATATCAAAATTTCCTTATTTAATTACTTAACTAGTTTATATGGCTCAATTAAATTAAATAACTTAATCATCACTTTTATAAATTACTAATCATCCATAACTATAGTTTGGGTCTATACTTGACCTAGGTTGTCCATATATGTATTTTAGAATTATTTCCTTTATTTATTCACTTAATTTCATATATATATTAACCGGTTTAATTACAATTAAATATGCTAATTATAATTTTTGTTAATTATAAATGGTCCCAAATGTCCTAGTTAGTCATATATTTAATCTAGCTTGCTCCCACATTTATTTCATAATTATTTTCGTCATTTAGTTAATTATTTACTAAATGTGTACAACTTGGCCCAATTACAATTAAATCAATTAAAAATAGCTACAAATATTATTTTTCAATTATTCTTGGTCCGAATATGTATTTTTATACCAGGTATTTAATTTATATTTTTCCATATTTTATTTATTTCATTTACTATTTTATTTTTAATTTTTTATTGAAAACGGGCCGAACCGGCCCAAATCCACGACCCGGCCCAAGAAGACTGGGTTGTCTCCTTCCCAGCTCTTCTCCAGGTCGCGATTCCGGCGACCGGAATCCCGTAAACTCCGGCGAGCGATAACTTTACTTACAGGTAACGGATTTCGACGATTCAAGTTGCAAAATGATCCTCACGTCGAGGAGAAGCTCCGCCACCCCTATCTACGGCAAAATCGTGTCTTTTCTGAAGACCCGTTTCCACGGCTTGCAACTCCGGCGACCTCTAGGATGCTCCGGTGACTATGAATCGGTCTGGAATTTATTGGGAAGTATTCCTAGACCTCTCACGACCCTCCTCTATCGTTTTTACGAAGTTTGATACGTAAAATATTATAGGCATGAATTTTCCGGCGAGATTATGTATATATATGTATATGTATATATAGCTTCTATCTCTCCGATTTGCAGTGTTTAGGATGGCTAAGAGGGTGTATTTATAGGTCTAGATGGTCCTATGGTTTATTTTATTTATTTGATAATTGTATGAATAATAATAATAATAATAATAATAATAAAAATAATAATGTCTATACATAATGATAGGTTGGTAGTTGATGAACATGGCATGTGTATTGATCCCTGATTTGATTCCCATTTATATTGATGTTTCATTTTATTTTATTTTATTATTATTATTTTTAATTACTTAAATGTATTTTGAGTTCTACATATAAATATATATATTTAAATATATGTACATAATGTATATACATTATTTGGTAGGTGATCTTAGCATGTGTCATTGTTTTATGATATGATATTTTCATTTATTAATTTGATGCTATTATTAGTAATTTATAATATGCTTACTATTTTTATTTATTTATTTATTTATTTATTTATTTATTTATTTATTTATTTATTTATTTATTTATTTATTTATTTATTTATTTATTCATTCTGTCACCTATATTTTATCTGATTTATTTCCATTTTATTTTTATTTTATTTTTTTATTTTATTTTTCCGATGCTACATAAGTGTTTAATTCTATTGCATGTAGTGTGCGTATATTTTTATACACCAAGTATAATAAAAAAAATATTTTGATCTTACTTTCATTTGATTTATCAGATATAACTTATCTGATTTATTTATTTATTTTTATTTCAAATTTTCAAGGTATCACATTCTACCCTCCTTAAAGAATGCTTCGTCCTCGAAGCATAAACTAAGACGAGAATTAAGTATGAAGATGAAGTATTATAGGTTTATAAGATATTACAACCTGCCCCCCTAAAAGAAAGGTTACGTCCTCGTAACCGAATATTTACCTTAATTGAAAAGTTCAGGATACCGTTTACGCATATCCTCTTCGGTTTCCCATGTTGCATTCTCGGTCAAATGGTTTGACCAAAGTACTTTTACCATCTTAACTGTCTTCTTCCTTGTCTCTCGGGTCTTAGTATCGAGAATCTCTATGGGTTTTTCTTCGTAGGATAATGTCTCATCCATTTCAATCACCTAATAATATAACGGTTAACTTATATTCTTTTCAATTTACGTTTGGCTCATGTTAAGTCTAGGATTTCTTACCTCCGGATTGATGATATGTGACTCATCTCGAACATACTTCTTTAATTGTGATACGTGAAAGACGTTATGTACCTAGCATATATCGGTATGTTAAGAATGTATTTTAATCGTAGAGAAGTATTTGATTTCAAATCGGTTGTTACCTTATCCAACTCTGTGGGTAGAGCTAATCGATATGCCACTTTTCCCACCTTCTCTAGGATGTCATAGGGTCCGATGAATCTCGGACTTAGTTTCCCTTTCTTCCCGAACCTCATTACGCCTCTTGTAGGAGAGACTTTGAGTAGAACTTTTTCCCCTAGTTCGAATTCAGTTGGTTTCCTCCCAAGATCAGCATATGATTTCTGTCGGTCTTGGGTAGCCTTCATCCTTTCTTGGATAACTTTGATTTTCTCAATAGTATCTTGCAAGTATTGTGGTCCTAGAACCACCTGATCGACCATGTCACCCCAACATAAGGGACTCCTACACTTTTGACCGTATAGAGCTTCGTATGGGGCCATTCTGATGCTAGCATGGTAACTGTTATTGTACGAAAACTCTATCAAGTCTAGGTGCTCATCCCATGATCCTTGCAAATCAAGAACACATGCCCTCAACATGTCTTCTAATGTTTGGATTGTTCTTTCGGTCTGTCCGTCCGTGGTTGGATGGAAAGCAGTACTTAACTTCAATTTTGTTCCCATAGCCGTTTGTAATTCTTTCCAAAATTGGGATAAGAATCGTGAATCTCGGTCCGATACGATGTCTTGAGGTACTCCGTGGTGTTTGACCACGTGTTTGACATAGGCTTTAGCCAGTTTCTCCATGCTCCAGGTTTCATTCATAGGAATGAACCTTGCAGTTTTGGTCAATCTATCCACTACCACCCAAATTTTATCTTTCCCGGACTTTGTTAAAGGTAAACCCCCGACAAAGTCCATTGAGATTGAATCCCATTTCCATGTTGGTACTTCCAAGGGTTGCACGAGTCCCTTGGGTTTGCATCTCTCCGCTTTGACTTTTTGGCAGTTCAAACATCGGGATACAAATTCAGCTACTTCTTTCTTCATTCCCGGCCACCAAAAGTTCTGTTTGAGGTCTTTGTATAGTTTGTCTCCCCCGGGATGTACCGAGTAGGGCGTGTTGTGTCCCTCCTCCATGATTTGTTTTTTAATATCTGCACACTTCAGTGGAACACACCACCTTCCCTTGTATCGGATGCTCCCATCTTCATGTACCTTAAATGGTCCGTTGACGCCATCTTTCATTCCTTCCTTGATTCTTTCGAGCTTTACATCTCCCGATTGTCCGTTCTTGATTTCGTCAAAGATAGATGGTATAACAGTCATAGTACATAACTGTATTTCACCATCTACTTCGCCATATTGCTTTACTTCCAAGCTCAATCTTTGGAAGTCTCGGAATAGTTCTTCTGGTAATATCCATGTTGCTCGGCATGAGTGCTCAGATTTCCGACTCAAAGCATCCGCCACCACGTTAGCTTTTCCCTCGTGGTATTGGATTTCTAGATCGTAATCATTGATAAGCTCGAGCCATCTTCTTTGCCTCATGTTAAGCTCTTTTTGAGTGAATATGTACTTCAAGCTTTTGTGGTCAGTGTATATCTTACAATGTGCTCCGTATAGGTAATGTCTCCAGATTTTCAAAGCAAACACTACTGCAGCTAACTCCAGGTCATGGGTAGGATAATTGACTTCATGCACCTTTAGTTGTCTTGATGCATAAGCCACCACTTTCCTATTCTGCATCAGCACACACCCCAACCCCTTCTTGGATGCATCACTATAGATATCAAATCCCTCCGTCCCTGACGGTAGTGTCAAGACCGGCGCAGTTGTGAGTCTTTTCTTCAACTCTTGGAATGCTGCTTCACAATCTTCATTCCATTGGAACTTGGTTGTCTTCTTTGTCAGGTTGGTTAGCAGTCTTGCTATCTTGGAGAAATCTTTAACAAATCTCCTATAGTATCCCGCTAGACCCAAGAAACTTCTTACCTCTGTGACCGAGGTAGGTGCACGCCATTCAACCACCGCTTCAATCTTCGATGGATCTACGGATACGCCTTCCTGGGTGATGATGTGACCCAAGAACGCTACCCGATCCTGCCAGAAGTCACACTTTGAGAGTTTGGCATACAACTGGTTCTCTCTCAAAGTTTGTAACGTGAGTCTCAAGTGTTTCTCGTGATCCTCCGGGGTTTTTGAATACACAAGAATATCATCGATGAATACCACCACAAATGTATCAAGATAAGGTCGGAATACACGGTTCATTAAGTCCATGAATACCGCCGGTGCATTTGTTAAACCAAACGGCATCACAGTGAACTCGTAGTGTCCATACCTCGTGCGGAATGCTGTTTTTGGTACATCTTTTTCGGATATTCTCACTTGATGATATCCAGAGCGCAAGTCTATCTTAGAGAACGTGCTAGCCCCCTTCAATTGATCAAACAAGTCGTCAATTCGGGGCAATGGATACTTGTTCTTGATAGTTGCTTGATTCAACTCTCGGTAATCGATGCATAGCCTTAGACTCCCATCTTTCTTTTTGACAAATAAGACCGGAGCGCCCCAAGGTGAGACACTCGGTCTTATGTACCCCTTTTCTAACAACTCCTCTAGTTGTTCCTTCAGCTCCTGCATTTCTTTCGGTGCCATTCGGTAAGGTGCTTTTGAAATTGGCGCGGTTCCGGGCATCAACTCAATTGAGAATTCAACTTCTCTCTCGGGCGGCATACCTGGAATCTCTTCCGGAAATACGTCCGGAAATTCATTGACTACGACAATTTGGTCAATGTTTGGTTCCCCTGTATTCACCTCTTTCATAAAGCACAGGTAGGTTTCATACCCCTTTCGGATATGTCGCTTTAATTGTTGCATAGTCATCAACTTCATGCTAGGCTTGGATGTGACTGCTTTGTAAGATATTCGCTTCCCATTTGGACCCTTCAAGATTACCTTCTGTTCATCACAGAGGATCATGGCTTTGTATTTCCCCAACCAATCCATGCCCAGTACTATGTCTATATCTTTTAAGTCAAATTGGATTAAATCTCCATGTAGGTTGGATTCAGATATGAGTATGGAAATGTTGGAGTATACATTTCCACAAGTTACAAATTTATCTGAGGCGGTTCTTACATTCAAGTCTATTCTAGCCGTTGGTTCAATCTTCAATTTCTTAACGAAACTAGAAGATATGAAACTGTGAGAAGCACCAGAATCAAATAGAACATAAGCAGGCTCAGAATTTACAAGGAATGTACCTGAAACCACATCATTAGCATTGGCTTGGGCCTGATTCATCACCATGATTCGCCCTTGGTTCGGACGGTTGCCGTTGTTTCCGCCGTTGCCATTGTTCCCGCCATTGCCATTGCCATGATTATTCTCCCCTCCTCCTCGAGGGTTGCGGTTGTTGTTGTTGGCGGCGGCATTGTTGTTGTTATTTTGTCCTCCATTTGGCCCAGCTTGGTTCATATCTGGTCTTCCTCCATCACGGTATTGCACCTGGTTCACTGGTGCCCCATTGGTCTTTGAGAGACACTCGAAGGTTCTGTGCCCTAGCTTCCCACAATTGAAACATTTTGTCAGGCTTCCATCGCAGTTAACACCGGGATGATCTCTCCCGCACCTCTTGCAGTAGAAGTGTCTATCTCTGGGAGCAACTCTTCGATCATTTTGTTGGTTTTGACCGTGGAAATTTCTTCCACCTTGGTCATCTCTCCTCCTCCTCCCTTCTTGTTGCTGTGTAGGTGGGTGCACTCTGACCCTCTTTTCTCCTCGACCTCCATCTTCGTCCCTCTTCATCTTCTGGTTCCTCTCTCTTTGTAGTTGCTGAACTCGATAGTGAACTGCAGCTCTATCATAAGCTTCAGTCAGAGTTTGGCAACCCAAAACAGCGACGATTTTCTGCGTATCATAGTTTAATCCGTAGATAAATTTCTCAACTTTGGTGCTTTCATCAGGCACTATTGTTTTCGCAAATGGCGCGAGGTCCACGAATTTATTGTGATATTCCTGGACACTCATGCCCATCTGTTTCAAATGTATGAATTCATCACGCATGGTGGCCTGAACGTGTGCAGGATAAAAACGTTTCCTCATGGCAATCTTGAAAGCTTCCCAATTGAAGTCAGGTTGTTGACGTAAAGTTGGGCCTGATGAGACCCACCAGTTATCCGCCTCTTGCTGTAAATAGTAAACAGCAATGTCAACCCTTTGCTCTTCCGGACAGCTCACTGCGTCGAAGAGTTTGTCAAAGAGTCGGAGCCAATTCTCGAGGATACGAGGATCTTCTTGCCCATGAAAGCTTGGAGGGTTGCGAGATGCCACTCGTTTTGCGGCATCATTCCCGTTGTTCTGGTTTTGGTTGTTCTGGAGCACAGTAGCACCCAGTGTGTGCATAAATTGTGCCAGTTGTTGAACGCTTTGTGCCAACTCAGCATTGGTGGGCGTGTTATCAGGGTCTCTTCTCAGTGCCATGATATCTTAATGACATAAAGTATTCGTGTAAGATTTTCTATATTTTACTCCGAAGGATCCTAGTTCAACTAAGGATTCCATAGGCTATGCAACATGATCATATAAAAATGTACATAACAATCATATAGAGGAGTCATACGTCACATAAAAGCACTTTCACACATAATGTTTGTACATACCTTAGCCACTTCGGAATTTTGCCTTATGAGGCATTCCCATTTTATCATTTGGGGTTCCCATTTCTCAAATGGGCCCACAATTAGCATAATTATCACATACATGATACATGTAAGGAAAATAAATACTCACAAGGTCCTCACCACGTTCCTAAAAGGCCATTTCCTAGCTATATTATCCTTCCTAGTCTTAAAAATATTTGAAAATCTCCCTTTTGAAGGTACAATCTCAAAGGTTTCCTTCAATGATTTTGAACAACGAAGTTTCAGCACAAGGAGAAATTCCCAGGTAGTTGGACGAGCGCAAAGGCTCAATTAAGAACCAACAGCCTTAGACTCTTATCGTCTTGGTGACAGAATTTCTCCATACAACCTATTACCTCGTGTACAAATCCTTTAAGAAAACCTAAGTCTCTGATACCAACTTGTAACACCCCCATTTTTCCCACCAAAATAAAATAACATTTTGAAATGAAAACATCTTTATTATAAAACATATTTAGAGTACAGCGGAAGTCTTTGATGGAAAAACAGGTGTGTCACCGCCACACTCAACCTATACATGATTGAGTGCACAGGCTATCCACCATTAATTCAAGTAGTCATCAGATAAAACATAAACAAAGTTTATGGATTACAAATTTAAACAACAATAATTAATCAAACGTGTGCAACTAGCGGAACACTCGGGCAGCAAGTACATCAATCTTCATAATCATAATCATCTGTACAATAGAGCAAAGAGAAAAAGAGAAAAGAGACAAAAATTAGCTTTAGAGCTAAGTAAGATTCCACCCGAACCCGTAAAATAATATAATTTGGAAAATAGGTTTTTGTATATGTATATATATTGAAAAGTAGTCTCTCATATTTTCAAAATGGTTTAATGTCATAAAATAATTTCCACAATAGATAAGATCATCCTTCAATTCTTCCAAAAGTAATACTTTAGATTCTTTTAAGAGTGGGCGAAACTCAAGATTCCTCGAGCCCAATGAGTCGTTGTTATCTACGACTCATCCCGGAATTCCGGCTCCCACCGACCACCAATTGGAAGCTGAATTTCTACCTTAAGTGTGCACACCCTCTAAAAGGGATTCCAAGCCCTCCGAGTAGTAAGAAACCCAAGTAGGCGGGATGTTTTCTACCACCTACTCACAAGGGACATTGTCCAAGGGTAAATTAGGTAACTACTACTACGACCACCAAAGGATCTTTGATCCTCAAATAAAAGCCCGGGATGTCTACCGGAGTATGTCATTGCCGGACTGGTTACCGACCCAAATAAATTTCACCAAAAGTAGTAGTAGCCCTAACCACCCACGCCTCGTGTTTCTCTCGAGACGTAAGAATATATATTATGAAAACTTTAAGTTTTCCCCAAATCATTCTTGTCACATTTTCTCAAAATATCCTTTGTAATAAATATAAATCCACCAATATTCTTTAATAAAAAGAATATACATTTAATCATCCATAAAAGATAATAATCCACCAATATTCATATAGTCAAAATATTCGATCCATGTCAAACATATAATTTCCAATTCATAAATAATTCACATAGTGCAAATATTGCATACATATAAGTACGAGGCAAAACATTTTGGTTGACATAGAACTTACCTTAAATTGCGATAATCTCCTTAATAAAATCTCTAGCTTGATCTTCACTTGAATTCTCCTTCTAATATTGATCAAAATTCTAAATCAATAACTATTCTATTATTTCGTTATTTCTTTTATATCCAACCTTCAATTACTTTAACTTCATAATTCCTTCTTTAAATATAAATATTAAATTAATAAATCTTACTAACTGTTTATTTCCAGTTCATTCTTATTATTTTCTTTAATTATAATAACCCAACTCGGTTTTTCTTAATTTGTTTGGTTAAATAGTTTACTGGTCCAATTATATTAACTTCATAATAATTTCATTATTTCGAATTTAAATAATCAATTTCAGTTCAAAATTCAGTTTACATAATTTATATAATTTATTTACTAACCCTTTTAATAATAACTTGACTTAGGCAATAATTCGAAATAATAATCATTAATGATAATCTAATCTCAATAACAACTTTAATTAGTTCAATAGTTTATTTATACTAACTAACCCAATTAAATTAATTTATACAATCCTCAAGTTTTATTTATTTGACTCACTAATTTAATTGAACTAACTAAATCAAATAAATAAGTTTAATTATATCAATATAGCTAAATACGTTAATCTAATTCAATTAAGTCCAATAATCAAATTCTAATCTCGTTTTAATTTTCTATTTTTAATATAAAGTCCAGAAATGTTATCAAGTCTATAAATTAACTAATTTATCCATTAAACTAATTGATTTAGTTAAACTAGTTCAATGAAGTCAATTAACTAACTTATTAAGTACACATTACTTAATTAATTTGTTTATATTCATCAACTAATTTTTTATGAGTTCAAATAGTTTAATAATTTATATGGAGTCCAAATCACTAATAATCAAGGATAATAATTATTAATTTAAGCACGCTAATTTAATTAGTCAACTAATTCAATAATTTATTTATTAAGTCCAAATATAGTCATTCATTTATACTAGATAACCCAACTTTATTTTCTTTTCCTTATTTTATTACAAACATCATTTTTAGTCCAGAACATTATTTTCAATCTTAGTGATTTATTTATTTCACCATTAATATCAAAATTTCCTTATTTAATTACTTAACTAGTTTATATGGCTCAATTAAATTAAATAACTTAATCATCACTTTTATAAATTACTAATCATCCATAACTATAGTTTGGGTCTATACTTGACCTAGGTTGTCCATATATGTATTTTAGAATTATTTCCTTTATTTATTCACTTAATTTCATATATATATTAACCGGTTTAATTACAATTAAATATGCTAATTATAATTTTTGTTAATTATAAATGGTCCCAAATGTCCTAGTTAGTCATATATTTAATCTAGCTTGCTCCCACATTTATTTCATAATTATTTTCGTCATTTAGTTAATTATTTACTAAATGTGTACAACTTGGCCCAATTACAATTAAATCAATTAAAAATAGCTACAAATGATGAAATGCTAGAAGTCATCACTGATGGACCCATCAAAATCATGAAGGTCATCACATCCAGAACCACTGAAGGAACAAATGATATGTACATTCCAAAACCAAAAATGGAATGGACAACTGAAGATAGGAAGAGAAACAACCTAGACAATGTTGCCAGAGACATCCTCTTCAAAGCCGTTGATGAATCCATATTTCCAAGGATAAGGAAATGTGAGACTGCCAAAGACGTATGGGATGAGTTAACAAAGATTGGAACTGGCGATGAACAAGAAAAAGACAACAAACTAACTATTGCTCTCAAGAAGTTTGAAGATTTCAGAATGTTGTCAAATGAATCCATTCATGATATGGAATCCAGATTTCTTAAAATTATTGCAGAGGTCTCTGATCTTGGGAAAACTCTCTCCCAAAAAGAGATCTCTCTTAAAATTTTAAGAGGACTACCATCAAGATGGGATATGAAGGTAACTGCCATGAGAGATAGCAGAGATCTCAGAAGTCTCTCAACGGATAAGCTCTTTAGTGATTTAAAAGCTTATGAGTTTGAAATGAAAGAGATAAAGGATGAAAAGGAGGAAGAGATCAAGACACTGGCCTTAGTGTCTGAACCTGGCACATCAAGATCAACAGAAAAATCACTCAACAATCTCTTCACTGATGAACAATTTGCAATGTTTGTAAGGAAATTCAAAAGGTTCATAAAGAAAGAAGGTTCATCCCCGAAGAAACCATTTCCTCAACAATCCAGAAGATACAAATCAAGTGAGAATACTATTCTTTGCTACAATTGTAGACAGCCAGGACACTACAAAAATGAGTGCCCTCTCCCATTGGCACACAAATATCAAGGACATCAGAATGCTACTCACAAAGCAGGATTCAAAAACTTCAAAGGCAAACATCAAGCCTTTGTAAGTGAGAAAAAGAGTGAAGAATCCCAAAATGATGAAAGCAGCTCAAGTAATGAAAGCTCTTCATCAGAAGACTCTGAAGAAGCACTACTCTGTCTAGGAGTCTGGCCAGATGCTAAGGATACAAGCAGCAGTTCATCTCAGGATAACTCACTCAAATGTCTCATGGCAGATAATCACGACAAGGATGTAGAGGTAACCTCCTGTTCTTCCTATTGCTCAAATGATTTTGGACCATCTAGTATTACACTAGAATCTTTACTTCAAGATTTTCAGAAGGTCCAAAATCATCATGTTCTCTTAAGATCTGAAAATGAAAGACTAAAACAAGACACTAAGAACATTCATGATAAACTCTTAGTTGCCTTATCCAAAATCAATAGCTTGACAAAAGAGAACATTGAGCTAAAAACAAAAATGAATAATCTCAGCCTGACTAGTGAAAATGTTGATCACACTCCTGAGATTATCCTTAAAAAGAAGAACAGAGGTCTTGGATACAAATCACCCACCAAGTACTCATAAAACAAACTGTCCACAAACTATACCATCAAAACAACAACACAAAGCCACCAACACTCCAATTCCCAAACAATTCCCACAAAAAGGAACATGTCTGCTCCCAAACCAAAATCCAAACACCTGTACAAACAAAACTTTCCTATCAAACAAACAAGTTGGCAACTCACCAATAAGACCAACTACCAACCAAAAAGGCAGCAAATTCCCTCCAAAAGAAACCTCTCTTCTCCTACATCTAGGAGAAAGAAACTA